GGGCCCCGGTTGGGGCTCCGGTTAGGGACCCGGTTGGGGCCCACGTTTGGGGGCCCGGTTGGGGGCCCCGGTTGGGGGCCCCGGTTTTTTTTTTTTTTTTTTTTTTTTTAAATAACGCACACACTCAACATAGCCCCGCACTAGGGAAACCCTGTGTCGCGGGTGCCATGGACACACATATAGACAACCACAAATTACACCCAAACTCACGAGAGAAATAAATGTAGGCCATACAAACATTTCTCCCGACCCGGGAATCGAACCTGGGACCTCTGCGTGGCAGTCCGGCATGGTAACCGTTCGGCCACGGAGGCAGTTGGGGTTGGGGGCCCGGTTGGGTGACCCGTTTGTAGGACCGCGTTGGGGGCCCGTTTGTGGGGCCCGGTTGGGGCCCCCCGGTTGGGGGCCCCCGTTTGGGGCCCAGTTGTGAACCACGGTTTGGGGGCCCTGGTTGGGGGCCCGGTTGGGGGCCCCGGATGGGGGGCCCGGTTCGGATCCATCAGGCCCCATAACTGGCCCCTAACCGGGCCCCCCAACCGGGCCACCCAACCGGGGGCCCCAAGCGGGTCCCCAACCGGGGCCCCCACCGGGCCCCCAACCGGGCCCCCCAACCCTGCCCCCAGCAGGCCCCCAACAGGCCCCCACAACCAATGCCCTAACTCACCCCCATATGCCCTATAAATTTATCATAATTGTCAGTTTTAATTGTTAATTGTTAATCAAAAACATTGAAAAGATTGAAAATTGATTAATTGTTAATTGTAGATATTTGCGATTAACGATTGATCAATTGTTAGTTGCGAGAACCGCAATTAACAATTGATTAATTGTTAATTGCGGTTCTCGCAACTAACAATTGATCAATCGTTAATTGCTGTTTCGCAATTAACAATTAATCAATTGTAAATCTTTAATTGCCAGAACAATTAAATTTTGCCCAACACTGAGTGTAGGTAGTGCAGGTATAGTATGAACAATGGAATATTTTTTTACAATAAATAAAAAACGGCTACATCGTTTCTGACTATCGATTAGGTAGGACCACAACCATAGTTGGGTCGCGTCAGTTTAAGAAAATAAGGTTAACAATTCACGGAGTGGTTTCTATCCGCGCCCGACGGTGCTGCGGGACAGCGGTTTTATTGCAATACTCACGACACTGCAAGTTTATGTGACCACGTAGCCGCCGCGGTTGCGGGCACGAAACCGCTCGATTGCTGAACGGACCGCAAACTTAGTGGGAGATAATCGCAAATCGCGCGGTTAATACGAAAGAAATAAAACGCGAGAGAAAAAAAAGGAATAAAACGCGCCGTGAAATTTGCTACTAATTTTATATTCATAACTACTTGGTACTTGGTGCAACGGACTGGTATCCGCAACTCGACGACAAAGCGCGTATTTTGCGTGTGGACATACTTAACTATCACATTCTACGCGGAGAAAGACGCGGGTGAAAACCGCTCCGTGAGTTGTTAGTCTAACGAAAAATGAGTTTCAGCGCCATATAACGTGTAATAGTTAGCTATTATATACTAGTAGCATTTTTACTAAAACGCCACCTGATGGTGAATGGTTGAACCAGGATGAAAAAAAATACTGAAATATTGCAATAAAACTCTTACTCAAGTGACAGTAAGTTTCATTTTGTTAAAATTTAAAATTGTGTTAAGTCGTTTTCATTTTTAAAGCCCTAACCAATCAAAATCGTTAACTTACAGTAGTAGAGTTAAAGTTTGAATTGCACACAAGTTAAAAAGTGGCGACAGCGGGATCCGATCTTACATAGCGTCATTACATGTCTCCTCTTTTTCCTATATCTATGGTGGCGGTAGTTCAAAAAATATAATGCGGGTGCATGAAGATTCCACCATAGAGATGAGGATGTTAACACCGCATCACCAGTCAGCTCTTGACCACGGCCAGTGCAACCTGGCTGAAACGTCGGGAACTAGGTAGGAGAGAAGAATACTTATTTGTATGTGAACGCGTTTATTCCCGTTTCCAAATGTTAGTACAATGCAACGCGAAAGTTGAAAATATAATATAAATAAATCATATGATTACTTATCAAAATGTTTAACGTTTAAGGTTTAATAATTTATCATATAAAAATTATGAAATTTGCAGGTTGCCAGTTTTTATAAAATTTTAAATAGTCATGTAATTGTTGGCGACAGTTTTATCGATAGATTGTGAAAAAAGGTAAAATTTTGGCAAAAATATCTGAATTGTGAATGTTATGACGTCTTAATTATTACTAAATGCGTTATTGCCTTCTTTATTCTTATTTTAACAGTTGGCCTACTAGTATCCAATTCGATTTTTATTCATATACATTTTAATAAGAACAGGCGGATTTGATTACCTATATTGAACTAAAATGAAAAACTTTAAAATACGTCTTCTTATATTTTTAATAGACATAATTCTAAATACAATGTATATGTACGTATGAAGTTACAAAAAAATATAATTCAAGTGAACCTGTGCCGAGTAATTGGATGAATAATGGGTCGAGGATGACTCAAATTATACAAGTTCAGCTATTTATTCCATAAGCGTGAACAACATTCAGTTGATAGTCAATATAATATTTATCGTCGGCAAACACAAGCTGTTCGCAAGCGGGCAACACTTTTGCTCAATGAACTGCCATTTCACTCTGTCCTCAAAAAAGACAGATTTTAGAATTTCTTCTTTCCGCCTACCCAACTAATAAAATAGAACCTTGTTTAACTGATAAAATAGAACTACATTATCTGTTAATGTATGTCATTTTTATATCTCCGAGCAGTTTCAAATCCATCTGGTTGGCATTGATAGATGTAATAACTCGTGGTAGGGTATTCTGACCATGCAGAACCCTCCAGGATGGGCACCACCGTCATCTTTTGTCGTCGTCGTCAGTCGTGCGCCTGGTAGTATGTAACAGTTGGAGTGCCACGAACCTGAGACTAAGGTGACAAGTTCCAGGTGCCAAGTTTTACCAGCACCCTAACCCTTCAAAACCAAAACGCCGTAATGCTCATATTGCTCGCTTGGTGGTAGAAATAGATATGCTACTTCAGTGGCACCACTTGTAAATGTAACGTAATCACAGGCAGCGAAGATTTAACACCTTATGTCCTATGCAACGATATCTATGTACTAGCTAGCGTACTATATGCGACTCTCGACAAATGTTCCACTCACACAGTGTTCCACAGTTTGTGGTGCCGGCGCAACACTTCACTTCACTTCACAAGATATCGGACAGATGAGGTCCTCTTTGGAAAGTAATTTACATCGGTGTGAACAATGCGAAAACAATTTTGCTAAGTGTGTGAACATAAATTTAAAAAGTTTAAAATTTATCACATTGATTTGGTAAGTAATATTCTGGTTTTTGATTATATTAGCCGCGAAACTTGTTTCCATTGTTGTTAAATAGTCCATTCTCAACAGGTATAGACTGTCGTATCTGTCCATGGTCTGTGTTATTCTTTGACTATCATTTGAAATTTCTAATCGTTTTATGCATTATTACATTGCGTGAGCACGTGCTTTGGAACATATAGTTCCTGTGAATGTTCCTGTCTATAGTAGATTTAAGTCTTGATCTCATGGCCGACAAGCATTTGTAATATTAAGGTATTTCTTTAGTATTTCAAATGTCTTCCTACAAGGAGGTCCATTTAACTGATTGCCGATTTGAATACTACAAAACAAAAACAGGTTGTACTTACTTGTCAATAATTTTCTGAATGAGGTAAGCGTCGTCGCTTGTCCAAGTGCCCGTTTTTGGTTGACAGTTGGCTAGTGAGCAGTTGATGGCGAGAGGGTACGGTGAGTGGACACGTGCTGGTGGTAACAAACGGAGCCTGTGGAGAACACAGAACACTAAATACATTACATGTGCTTAGAGTGCATTATGGTCGTGTCAATTATCTCACGCAAAACCTCGAAAATCGTGGAAAAATGCCTTATTTAAGTCTTAATTTATACAGGGTGTAACAGAAAGGTGTGGTCATATTTGAAGGTCGGATTCAGTTAATGGTATGAAACTAGTTAGCAAAGTTGTTTTAGTACACACTACGTTATTTATGGAAATTTCGCCATGAACAGTTTCGATCAGCTGATGTCATTTAACGAAAATAAATAGTCACATCACATCTCTATTGAGTATCATAATACAACCAAATTACGTAACTTGAAAAAATTGTGAAATTCAGGCATGTTATTGTAAATGATAAAGTACTTAATGCCATATTCTTATTACTATGTTATAATTTACTAAATTTATTATTATTTTATTCATGTAATATGCGTGTGAACATTTAATGAAAAATAAATATTATCGATTACTTTGCCAAAATACACTACTTCATAATAAAACTATTATTTAAAACTTAGTACATAATAACGTAATATGGTTTCGTTAACTTCATATCTTCAAACATACAAAATACACAAATTTCCATTTAATATCCATTAATAAAACTAATGTCCTCTAAAAACACATATTTAAAGTTATCTCTTTTCTTTTTACCATATCATATGTAATAATACGCATTCATCTATTGTATTTTAATGAATGAAATTTGTCTCTTTCTATCCGCCGGTACTGTTCTAACGCATGGCGGCTAGCGAATCGGTATGTTTCTTCTAATGCATGACGCAATATGACGCAATCATCCGACTAATACTTCGCACCCTTACAATGAAAGTGACCCAAATCAAAAAATTTAAAAATGAGTTTATACCCTAAAACCATCTTAAAAAAATATTTTGTTACATTAGTCACACTGTGGTGAAGATGAAATTGTGCAATTAAAGCTCGAATAGCACTGATTCATAAAGGTCCCTTTCATTTTGTTCTTTCAGTTTAAAAATTCTACTCCCGCGTCGAGATATTAACGCCGCATTTATTGTTGAATCTGCATTTGCAAAGACAACACGCTGCCACTGACGGATTAGCATTTGAGCCATTTTCGTTCCGAAAATCATATTCAACAATCACTAGTAGCAGTAGAGCTCCTTGTGAGTTCGTCCAGGGTAGTACTGCCACTTTACCGTGTTACAGTTTTGAAGGGTAAGGGTGCTGGTGAAATTACAGGCACATGGGACTTGTCCACTATGTCTCAGAGAGATGGACGCCGTAGCAGTAACCTTCGAGCGGCAGTGCTACTGTTATGGACATGCGTAATGCTTTCCACCGGGTACACGACTTGTTCGACCCGTCGCTTAATATTTAAAAAAATATATATTTTTTTATTAACTTACTTTTTAAAGGGACTGACTTTTTTGTTTCGTGGACTTTCTTCTTTTTTAATTGTGAAATAGGGATCACAAAACAATATCAAGGGTTATGACATCTTGCTTAGCTGATGAACATTAAAAAGACTTAATTCTTAATACGTTAAATGATAACAAAAAATCGTTAAAAAAAGACCTATCGGCGACTAGTTTTTGTAAATTATGTTTTTAAATTGTTGAACATTAAAATGATCAGAAACAATTTTCAGTTGTAAAGTTCCATTTTTCCTCATTATTTTCAAAGACTAATAAGGCCATCACCTTTAGTACTTCAAGAGTAATAAATAAAATAATATGAAAATGTCACAACTTGAATCTTATTTTGCGTATTCCCAAAAAGTTGAAATTTTGTATTGGGACACTTTCATCGTAAAGGTGCAACCTGAAGGTCGGCAAACGTCAAGAAATTAGTTTTGATCGTTGACCACGAATTAATTATTGTAATTTTCATCACTTGCTTGGAAATGAAAATATCGTGAGAAAACTTGGATTTCGGAGATAATTGCCGAAATCTTCAAAGATGCGAGAATGTCAAGTTTCCAACCAGTACTTACTATGCAAGTGTAGTGGACTAAACCTTGTGCAAAAAATAGTACTTTACTAACTTACATACGTCTATTGCTGAGCGCACGTTTCTAACAACAGGCTTACGCTTAATTTGACTTATCTACACACGACAACTTTCTGTGTATGGGTTTATTACATGGTGAAATTGAAATAATTAATATCCGTTGAACCTATTAAGGTTCTTGCTTCCTAATAATATCTACTCATCTAAAGAAATATTTTAGAATAGTTTAAATTAGCAATAGTGTAAAACCATAAAAAATCTTACCTAAATAAACAAAGTATCAAGATTAGTCGCCTTGCGTACGCGATACGTATCGTAGCGAAGTTGCAAGCCTTTGGCGGCAACTTTAGCGGCAAAAATATCACCTTTGATTTTCGCCGCCAGCATTTGATTTTATACATCGTGATGTGGAGTAGTGGTTAATGTTAGACTCGTTTCGGAGGTCGTGGATTCGATTCTCATAGTTGACTGGCTCTATGGTGTAGTTGTTAGAGCGTTAGGTTTTCTTTTTGGATGTCATAGATTTGATTCCCATAGTCGACTGCCTCCATAGTCTAGTGGTTAGAGCGTTAGGCTTTCTTTTCGGAAGTCGTGGATTTGATTCCCATAGTCGACTGCCTGTATGGTGTAGTGGTTAGAGTGTTAGGCTTTCGTTTCGGCGGTCGTGGATTTGATTCCCATAGTCGACTGCCTCCATGGTGTAGTGGTTAGTGTTAGGCTTTGTTTTCGGAGGTCGTGGATTTGATTCCTATAGTCGATTGCCTCCATGGTGTAGTGGTTAGAGTGTTAGGCTTTCGTTTCGGAGGTCGTGGATTTGATTCCTATAGTCGACTGCCTCCATGGTGTAGTGGTTAGTGTGTTAGGCTTTCGTTTCGGACGTCGTGGGTTTCCGATGGGTGACTGCCTCCTTAGTGCAGTATATCCGTAATCACCCAGTCAGTTCTTGCGTTGTGTGGAAGTGGTACGGGTGAACAAAGGCGTATGCAGTGCAACGTTGAAGGTCGTAGATACGTAGGATATAGGTATTCGTTTAATGTGTATGTAATGATGTAATTTGTATCATGAGAAGGGTCTTATTTTAAAAGGATGGTAATAATTTTAATTTCATCCTGTATGTACATTATGAAAACGTTACCCTATATTCCAAAATTTGCGTTTCAGTCGGCGTCCTTTGATGTGCCGCCGCCGCTGAGGCAGAGGCACTATTTTTTTATTTTTTGTAACAGTCTGTAATTGCCGTTTGCGTTGTGAGGACTAAATAGGTGTCATCGTTTTGTTTGTGTCTCGTTTTTGTGTTTATTTAAACTATGTCACGCTTAAGCAATAGTGATTACTATGAGATGATGTTGTGCGTAGGCGCAGCCGATGGGAGCTTGCGCCAGCCTCGCCAAATTTATTGGGCAAAGTTTGTTGATGGCGTCCCAGAAAATCGACGTCGACCATTTCCTACTCTGGAATGCTTCAGGAAGATGGTTATGAGACTTCATAATAGTGGATCGTTCCGTGGTTCCAGTTCTGAAGGCCGGCCGAGTTCACGAGACCCAGAATTCGAGGCAGATGTTTTGGAACATTTTCTCGGCAATCCAAAGACAAGTACTCGTCGTGCTGCGGCAGCCTTTGGTGGTGTGAACCATATGAGTGTGTGGCGTGTGCTACGGGATGATGGCCAGCACCCATACCATTTTCAAAGAACGCAGGAGCTGTTACAAGCGGACTATGATCCACGTTCCGTTACGTTTACGACCGCGACCAGATTGGGAGGTCTCCCGACTTCGCTTCGTCGGTACTGTGGACAGACGAGGCGTCATTTACGCGTGCGGGCATTATCAATATGCATAATGAACATTTTTGGACTCATTTGAATCCCCGCGTATCAAGGGAATCAAATTTTTAACACCAGTGGCGGATTAACGTGTGGTCTGGTATAATAGGTTGTGCCGTCATCGGTCCAGTGTTTTTGCCGGCAAGTCTGAATGGGGCCAATTATTTAAGATTCCTAACAGAAGACTTGGATGACGTTCTGATGGCCCTGCCAGTGACACAATACGTGAGACTCGTGATGGAACACAGGATGACTTTCCAGCACGATGGACCACCCGCACATTTTGCTCGAAATGTACGTTCCCATCTGAACGACCGTTTCCCGCAGTGGATTGGGCGGGGAGGTCCTGTACCCTGGCCAGCGCGGTCCCCAGACTTGACACCGCTCGATATTTTTTATGGGATCATATAAAAAATATTGTTTATGCGGAGTCCTGTGAAAGCGCAGAAGAAATGAGGCAGCGGATCGAAATGGCATTTAGTCAAATCACTCGGCAGATGCTTCAAAGAGTAGAGCAGTCTCTGTACCGACACACGGACATATGCATATTGCATGGAGGTCGGCATTTTGAACCTTACCTGTAAATGTGTGAAATGTGCCAGCAGTGCGTGCAGTGATTGTGCTTATTATTCAAAATTATCGTAAACAAGTCAATATTTCGTACATTGTACAATTACAATTCGTAGGAAATTCATTAAAACGTGTATGAATTGAACAGTAGGTAAGTACCAATTAAAAAAGTATCCACTATTGTAAAATTGTCGTAAATAAATGTATTAATACTAAACTATGTAAAATGTGTATACGATGAAGGCGTGCGTAACTACGGGCTTAATAAGTAAATAAATATTCTTTAAATTGTATGTAAATAAATACGTACGCGTACCTAGGTATGGCATAAAATAATATTGTTAGAAATGATTCGATTTTTCTAGGTATTTAAAGATTTTGTTACTTAATATTAACGTATTATCAACATATTCAAATCATGTTTTTACAATGGCATTTCAATTGTAGTCAGCTGTTCTTTCGCCCCGCCTTGCGGCCGCCCAGGTTTCATGAATGAATTTGTGAAGTCGTAGTAACGTAACTAGCAATAGAGTTGTGACGCAGTGGTTGTTTCGGACAATCACTATTTATACAAACATAATTAAACTTATATCAACATTAAA